AGCAGTTCACAACTATGATCTATGCCATATCCTTCCACCACCATAATCCAATGCTTTCACAGGCTCATCATAAATTCATCGGATATGAGCCTTCTAAAAGTATCTTCACATTCTACAGTATATAAATCTAGATGACCTTTGTGCGGAGTGAAGTCGAAGCAAAAGGCTACCTTTAATTCTTTATATTTTCCTTTCGAAACACTTTGCATCTACTTATTTCCAGAGAAATTTGATGGGACTTCAATAGATAATTTTGTACACGGATTCTTCAGAAGCTCATGAAATTCAATATAAATTTTGTAAAATTTCTATATAGTGGCACAAGTGAAGTTACCACCCTATAGAAATTCTGCAGAATTTCTTTAGCGTTTTCCTCACAGAATTCTACAGAAATTCGGTAATATTCTTGATGCGATATCTCTATCTCTATCTCCGTACAATTTCCATGCAGTGATGTGCGGAGTAATAGAATTCTACAGAGAGAAATAATAGAAATCTATACGACTCTATCGAATTTTTTCTTTTAGTCTACAGAACATGACTTTGCTTGAGGCGACATCCCTTACAACTATTGATAGCATGAGATCCTCGGTGGCTCTTCTCTGGCCTACCCAGTCTCCAAATCGTGAACATGTAAGATTCATCCCTCGACTTTGATCATTTCTGCCTTGTGGGAGACGTGTCAAGGCCACGAAGCTGAAGATACGGATTTTATTGTACGAGTCAAATATCAAAAGTCCATGCTTATCGGGAAAATAAAGACTTATTAGTAACTCTTACAGCGATCGTCAATCAAAATCGTGCGGCGGGACACTCGGTGGCAGCTCCTTGGAAATCCACTCACGTGGGAAGGGGGAGGGGGGGAGGGGGTAGGGGGTGGGGTGGGGGGAACATCGTTGGTGGAGCCACTGTTCCATCTGCCGACACGTTTTTCACAGCAGCCAGCTGCTCCTTTTCGAACTCTGGTCACGTACGCTTTTTTTTTTTTCCTCTCTCCGCGTGGTCCGATGACTTTGCCAGTGTCAGGGCATGGCTGAAATCCAGACCAGCTAACATTAAATATTCGTCTCGGGTCTTTCGCTGCATCTTTCTGGTGTCGCTCGGCGATGAATCCCTCCGACTCGGCAAACCGACCTCAAAAATCTCATGCAAGGAGCTCTTAGGGGATCGGCTCGGCAGTTCGCTGTGACAATTCATTCCAGCGGCCCAGGAACAAATGAACAATCTCCTGAAAATGGATAGTCTGCCATGCGAGCAGTCATTGAACCCATCCCCCTTTCTGCTCGTCTTTCTAAGGACGGGAATCTCGAATTTTTTTAATGCTTTTTTTGGTGGCTTCCACTTTCGCCCCCGAGTTTAATTGATAGATATTTGCTAAATTTTCCCTTTTATCTCATCTCGATGAACGAGGGCAAGAGTGCACAGGGGCGGCTTTCCAAACGTTGATTTCGTGATAACCACGTGACTGATAACCACGCCTGCCTCGACCCTTTAAAAGGGAAGGTAGGGTTAACTCCCTGTTTCACATTCTCACCCTATGTAAGATGGATACTGAAAGTGACTTGGAGTGAATAGAAACTATAGTCCCTCATGGATTCAGAAATCATTGTCCTTAAGAAGAATCTTATGAAGCAGTCAATTGATGATGGTATAACATACACAAATTAGAAGGTCATACAGCTAAAAAAAAATTGCATCTGAGCGAACTGCTTCCGAAGGAACAGATGATCTAACCAAGTGACACCACATAATAAAGGGCTGCGACATTTTTTTTTATAGATCAATTTCGTTTGTCCGAAATAGATAAATAGATTCTGGAGACGGTGAATCCGAGCCTCCCAGTCCCTGTATTTCTTTTCCTTTCTCATCCTGGCACCTCCAATCTCCAGCATGACCAGCCGCGATTCCATGTGCGATTCTTCCTTCTGAATCAAAGCCACGAGTTCAAAAATGTTCAAGTGGCTCTTCTGGGCATATATCAGTATCCGTCTTACACAAGGAGGGATAGTGAAACTGGGAGCTGACCCTGCCTCCCCTTTTTAAAGGTTGAGGCAGATCTGGTTATCTGTCATTAATATGACGCATGGAAAATCGCCCCTGTGCACTTTCGCCCCAATCGTGTGTAGGTCAAAGATTAAATCATATCTTGTGATTCGTGTCAATCGAAATGCGGGGGCGAGACTCCACTGGGGAGAAAGTGGAAGTAACCCTTTTTTTTGCCCGTGGAGCATGCTTCCAATTCCAGATTGGATTACCCTTGATCCGAGGATCATCACGTGTACTAAGGCGGAATGTGGAACTTAAAAAAATACCTCATTTCGCTAACTCCGATCCTGCCGGCTCGAGTTAGGTTTTATCTATGGATTTTGCAGGAAAAGTCCGCCCTCAAAGATCTAGAGATTCGGGAATGCTTACGACATATTCCAGCTTGAGCCTGTGTTTCTGATCTATTCGGCAACTCAGACAAGTAGGCTACTTTATGGCATTCTAAACGATAACAATTTCTTTCACAGTCGTCAAAACCTCCAAAAGCGGAAAGCGATCTTACGAGAAACTCACGTTATTTCGAGCACATTCAAACCATGTAGGTATTCTTGTTTGTGACAGAGGGCGACATTGTCGGTGATTAAGTTTCACGCGCCGGGGTGAACTTAGGAACACATTGGCATTATTCGGTTGAAAAAGGCAGATGGGATTTCTTGCTACGTTGGATTATGCAATGTAGGGCTCTAAGGCAGCGTCGGATTTTGTCTCACTCATTCTTCATCCTCCCGTTTTTCCTCCCTTCCTGTGAGAGTGGCCAGCACGGTGGTTATACAAATCCTTCGGTACTGGGACACAATCTGTAATAAAATTATAACTTTATCGCTACCCCTGACTCGTGAAAAACAGCGCCAAACCCGCCACCGGCCTTGGTACTTAAAGTAGGGTCGAGATGTTAAGAGGCCTCTACTTCTAGAGCGGATGAAACGAGACTACCAGTTTTCCATGTATTTGTTGACCTAGGAAATTGGCTCTGGGAATCTCTTCCTCATCGATACCGGGGTCTCCTGTACAATAGAATATAGATTTTGGGAAACGTAAGAGGCTCAAGTCCTCTGCAGTTAACAATTCTCTGTACAATTCTCTGTACTCAATGAAGAAAGAAATGTATGCAATAGAAATATGACAGTAATATGATTGCTGTCATATTACTGTCGCATAAAAATTGAAATCTAGATCCATATTATTTAGCCTCTGTAAAACAGGCATTCCTAAATTCCCAGAAGAGAACTATCAATCTTTCACCACAAGAGACATTTGTCAGTAAACGGAAATATTTAAAAATGTTTTTCTGATTTTTTGTCTTCACAGGACCAGTCAATTTTTAATATCGTGGTGTTGACCCCCTTAATGCCGAAGCACAATGACAACAACATAGAGAGCGTTGTAAGTTGTGGGGAAAATGCAGAAAATCATGATTCTGCTGTGATAAACATTTACAACGGTCACGGCCTTATCATGCATGCTGCTATTCCTGATTTTCTGGACTATTTACTGTATGAAAAGGTTATGAGAGGGAAGTCTAACATCCTACTTGATTATCAAGTAAGTGTGATATTAAAGTATATGTTCTCTAGCGTCACTTGATATTCACTTCCTTACCGTGACCTGACAGAATTCCCCTGATTTAATATGTGAGGTGAGAGAGCGAATCGCCTTTCAGGGAAGGTATGGTACAGGAATAGGGGTGTACCGATGCATCAGCAACCACCGGTGTTGGCTGCCGATATGGCATCATCGATGCCATCGACCCTCGGCAAGATTGGAAGCGGCTGGTGCCGATGCCAAAGGAAGAACGTGCCGGACCAAGAAAAAAAAACACGTGAAGGGGGCTCGGTAAATGATTCTCAACAGCAGCAGGAAAAAAAGTAGGGCTGTTCCGGTGCATCCATCGATGTATCGATGTCATTTTCGATAATTGGAGGCATCGTTGGCTTTATTACCGTCGCGAAGGTCACACCTCATCCCCCCCCCCCCCCCCACTCCCTTATCGCGGACGAGAGATGATGGAAGACGGAAAGGGGTCCTCGCCCCGATCGAGGTAAGAAACGACGAAAGTGTAACCTTCGTCCGATTGCGACGAGAAAGGACTGCATCCTCCAGCGCCCACATCCTCTCCCGGTGCATCAATGCACTATCGATAGTTCGGGTCGATACATTGATGCTTCGGAGCAGCCATCGTGACAGCCCTAAAAAAACAATTGAGCACGGCTTCCTGATAGATCTATTTGAATAAATAAATATTTGGGATCATGATTCCTTACTCTTTTACTAATTTCACAATCCGCATCGACCGATAGGTATGAAATCATAATTCGCCCAAATGTGGCCACCGGTTCAGCCCTATACAGAAGGGCCCTATACGAAGGCTTCGTATCTTCTCAGGCAATACTAACTCCCAAAAGTCTTCTTTTCTTCCTTTCGGAGGCGTGATTCCCCCACTTTGTACCAATGGGATTTGGGCATCTAATGGCGCGAAACATGTTCAGAAATTGGGGAGAAGGGGGGGGGGGGGGGGCACATTCATCACTTTGAAAGCGTAAGGAACCATGCCCCCCCCCCCCCCCTTTCCCTTGTCCCCCCTCAGGTTCCTCCATTCCTAGATCCCGTATGTAAGCAAGCTCAAGGTAAGTGTTCATTAGTAAATGCGAGACAGTTGTCCCAACATCTGCCCTCTGACATTCTCATCTGAAAGCCATTCCCACTCCCGCATCCCATTACTCATCACACAGAGGCTTTTCCCGTTATATTGCGAAGCAAGGTAGGCTTATTATTTGCCGCAATGACTGCTCAGTCACAGCTACCGCAGGTCTCAGGAGAGTGTAGGCGCGTGAAGGGAGTGCGGGCCAGCAGACGACGGAGGCGCATGCACATGCGACTCCCACAACGCATGCGTAGAGATCTTCGTCCCGGCCGCCCACGGGGGAGGAAGAGGAACTCAGTACTCCACTCGCGGTAGAGCATACTACTACTGGATAACGTGATTCGCATGTGCTCCGCGTTCGAGCCATCTTCCACAGTACCAAACTGAACTCAAGAACCTCGCGAATGTGAACTCGAAATCCATATGCTGGAATACCCGGAGGACCTTCTGGAAGGGCTGCGTCTTGGGTGAGTGGGCAGTTTTTCTCCAATAAAACGTCCATTTATCATCATTCATGTCTCGCGGACCCTTTGTGAAAAAGCATGATGCTTTCTCCGTTTGACGTGCGTTCTTTCGAGGAGAAGGAATAAGTCTGCAAGAGGACCACTCTACTTATATTGCCTTTTGAAAAATTCAGGAAGCCTAGCAAGAGTGCTTCACGGCACTAGGGAAAGACCACGTAAAATAGTCATTTGATAGACTTAATAATCGGAAGCATGAATCGAACAGTAAATTCTGGGGAATCTGTGCCTTCTCTTTCTTGACATCAACGTGGAATGTCTATGAGGAAGAAAATTACTCACTGAAATTCATACTACCTGTACCAGTATGCAGAAACTGATGAAATCTATTGATGCTGTCATCCCCTAAAACAGTTCCATCTCCCGAGACGACTTATCGTGAGGAATTCCATGAAAGATGGGGACATGCACAGGATCGATCCAAATTGGATTTATTCCCTTTTACACTGGGCGTCTATGGGAATAACATCAACCCAGACGGATTGGATTTTTAGGAATCGATTTGGTGGATGTCGTTTGATGCCAAAGAGCACTTCGGTGGTTCTGATTCCATCCGATGACTGGAACTAGAGCATGAAGAATAGAATAGAATAACCGTCTCGGAGTCAAATTTATTATTTAAGCGCCAATAGGGGTATAGCATTCTAGGCTGATATCCGTGATACGTAGCCATGCTTCCTTCCAGGCTTAACCAACCATAATGGCGCTAATGACTCGCACAGATGTGAACTTCTTTACTCTCGTTCACTCCCATTAGCAAATTATTCATACCCAATGATTTTAAATTAATTTAATAAAGATCGTGTGACCCTTGCGTCTTAAACTTTTTAAGGAGAAAGCAAATTCACTTTGAGTTATACCTTGAAATTAACAGTTGTGGAAGAGTCAATGAGATCACTTCTCACCTTGAGACAGAAATAAGGGGCTCTTCGGGCCTATCGCCAGAGAAATGTGAAACATTAGCTGAAAGAAACTCTATCCTCAGTGACTGGCAACTTAGATCAAAAGCTAGCTCTTCAAGAACTGAGAATCAATAGCTATGTACATATTTTTCCCTTGGGTACTTCTTCCGAGAAGCTTCAATCGATACTTCATGTGGCCGAAAATGCAATCGGAAGTTTCGAAACCATGTCTCCCTCGTTTGGGAAGATATGCCATGCACTTGTCATTTGATGCGGAGAAATAGAGTAGAAATACAATAACATGCAGTGGCTCTCTGGTTTGGAATCCCCAAGGAGTGCGTGAGGTTGAACCTCATTTGTCTCTTCTCGTCAACTTCGGTGGAGCTTCTCTATGCGACCTTTGATCTATTTAGAAAATGCACCCGTCTCGGATAGATATACGTCGTTGCTTGGATCGATCAGTATTAACTCTCTCTTGTGATTGGCATTCGCGTGCCATTCTTAATGTTTAACTTTCATCGTTCGACACAGACTCTTGTCCCTCTCCGAGGTACTTTTCATTCGATTCTTGGCCTTCGTGGAGTTGATAGCTGGCTTAAATGTTTTCTTTTCTCTCATTGTAGTTTTCGAAAGGTACAGAGGAAAGGGTTCGCTTCGGAACCAGGAGATTTGTTCACAGATTCATCTTCCCAAAATTGCGAAGCTCTGAGATTCCGAGCTCCTCATCTGGACGTTCCATCAGTCATAGACCTCATTTGTGAGTTACGGTCGACTGCACAGGACATTTCCATTCCGAAGAAGATGACCGACGGTTCATTATGGATGATCGAGGGTAAATTAATCATGAATGATCCCGGACGAGGGGTAATTCCTTTTCTTCATACATGAACTGCTTTCTATTCATGCCTGGCGAAACGATGGAGTATGTCTTTTGCGTAACATGCGTGCTTCTGGTTTGGCAACGTTTGACCGAGTCGATGTCCAGCTCTCACGAGAGGTGCGCTATACTATTGAAACGACTAGCTTGATATGTACGAGTCCAGAAGGTGGAAGTAGGCATGATGACTCAGAGGCTAGGAGATCAAGTCGTCATATAGTATCTGGTAAGTCCCTTCTCAATAAACAAGGCCGTACGATTCTGTGTTTAGTACATCGTATTTCCTCAAGTCTCATAGACTGCAGAAATATATATATATACATCCTTCCACGGCACCTGCCGGTATTGGAGATATGAGGGGGGATGAACCATATCCCAGACCTCATACTCGCCTAATTCTGAAGGAACGTCCGAGTCGATCGATGGTTTATCCATGATCTTGGGATGCTGTCCGTGAAGCGGTTTCTCGGGTTTCGGTTCGGGTGGTGGGTGTGATGCATGGTTACGAGTTTTCTGGCCGCTCGATCGATGGCTTGGAGTTTTGTAGGTGACTAATAGATAACTCCGAAGCTGTTGTTAAGGACAGGGGTGGCAAGGCTGTTGACAAGGGAAGAGATCTTGTTTTTGCCGGACAGCTCGGTCTTCCGAACGAGGCGGACTCTGCGTTTGTATTCAGTCGTCAGTCTTTGCTTCGTGTGCTTGACAGCCACGGATGAGTTCTCTTCCACACCGAGGTACTTATAGGTGTCAGGGGCTGTAAGCTCTCGGAGTTGTTCGTCGTTGGTGGTGGTGATATCTCCCATAGGGGTGAGGACTCCGCGGTGGATGGAGAGCTTCGCGCACTTTTCGAGTCCGAACTTCATGCAGATGTCTTTCGAGAAGATGCTGACGACGTTGAGAAGGCTTTCGAGTTGTTTCTCGTTGGAGGCGTAGAGTTTCAGATCGTCCATGTAGAGGTGGTTCATGCAGAATAATAGGTATATATATATACGAGGTCTGATCAAAAAGTTCTACGACTTAATTTTTTATGACGCTGTGGTGACTCTTTCCCACTGCTGATGGTTTTATCCTTTAAACTAGTCCTCTTCGGCATCTACACAAATTTTCTGGCGTTTCTTCAGCCACTGGAAGCATTGCTGACACTCATCTTTTGAAATCACCAACAGCACTCGCGGCGCGTTCGTAGGGCTGTTTTAAATGTTCTGAGATTTCCTTTTTTTTTGCAATTTCAGCAGTTTCTGACCTACCCCGCAATCTCGTGCTTCACCAGCCATCCAACTCGTCGCGGTTTAGCTCCTAGTAATTTATTTGTGTTCCCTAAACTAAAAAATGTGCTGAAATGAAGGAGATTTTAGGCATTCAAAGCAAAATTGTAAACGCGCTGCGAGCGCTGCTGGTGATTCCAAAAGATGAGTGTCAGCAATGCTTCCAACAGCTGAAGAAACGCCGGAAAATTTGTGCAGATGCCTAAGAGGACTAGTTTAAAGGATATAACCATCAGCAGTCGGAAAGTGTCACGACAGCGTCATAAAAAATTAAGTCTTGGACCTTTTTGATCAGACCTCGTATATATATATATATTTCTATATCATCCATTGTCTCTGTCTTGACAAACATGCATTATTCCATGGTGCATGCCGTACGTAGGCCTAGCGCCTTCTGTACAAGAGGTACTCTATTGTCGAACGAGACTATTCTTGTGGACTCTTACGTTCCTCGTTCTTCAAGACGCCCAGTAGAAAAGAATATATATTGGCATGCGTTTCTCGTATTCCATCTACACTTGCAAATCACGGGAGACAGCTTAAATTGAATTCTTTTGCTGCAAAGAATGCGAACGCGAAAATTGCAATAGTCTATCTCCTTTTTTGTAGCCCCTCGTCCTCTTTATTCTCCTCAGACGAGCGAAAAACCCTTGATGGATTATTTGCAAGAGTGCTCTGTTCGTCCCATGTGGACGTTGCCTGCAGCTTTCTCGTGCTGAGAAAATGTATGGCTGATATACAGGAAGACTTTAAGCATAAATTGTCATAGTCACGAGGAGGAAGAAGAAAATTCCCATGTCCCATAACCATCAGTACGCTTATAAACCGATTATGCGAAACGACTTTCCGATGAAGGTACCTCTCTCTTTCTCTCTCTCTCTCTCTCTATCCCGGCCTATTTGGCGCGTGTGTACGAAGCTTTGTAACCATGGCAACGTCCCAATAAGCATGGGCATCACGTGACGAGGCCTTCATAATCCGTGCATATTGCACTCATCACCCTCCCTCTCTTGCCTCGAGGTTTCTCCTCATTATCACCTTCATTTTACATATCAAGAGGTTCCTAGCTCGATTCCTCGTCGAAAATTGCAAACTTGAGAGGGAATGCTAGGCACGTTGTCTCCTATTCCTCTCCTGACTAGATCATCTGTTTCCGTTCTGATCTATCTCATATCGTATTGAAGGTTTCTCGGAGTTTAATTCGTATACTGTACTGTACAGGGTGTGGTGAAATACTCGCACTTTTAAACCTATACGTTTTAAAACTCTTCTCTTTTACTGATGCCATTTTACGAAAATTGCGCTGTCCATGGACTGATGATTCCATCTCCCTTTTGAGTTTTCATGGATATTAGTTCCGTCAAAGCAAGGCTATGATCTATTAATTTTTAAATGACGGAAATGAAAAATGGACGGCGATCCAATCCCAACTAAACGACTAGACTCTGCCTGCTTCCCCCTTCCACATAAACGGGGGGAAATTCTCGAGAATCTCAAAACAAACTCTACGTATTGATACCTATTGATTTATTCGTCATAATTTAATTAGAAATAGGCTAATCAAAAACGTCTGCGACAAAAGGTCTGCTCAAAGAATGAATTTTAATGGAGGAGATGTACAACGTGACCTAGATTACGAGGTCTGACAATAAAATAACGAGACTGTATTTTCTCATAGCTATATATTTTATATTATTGTAAACTGTGGTGGTAAACTGTGGTGGTCTCCTTCAAAGTAGTTCCCTCTTGCAGCTATACATGAATTCCAGCATTTTTTCCAACTGTCGAAGCACTTCTGAAATTCAATCTCCTGCCAGATGTTTAGAACGCCCGTCGTAACCTTCTGAATCTCTTCCTTGGTTTCAAAATGTGTTCCCTCGATGTGTTTCTTCACATTAGAGA